TTACTGGTCATACATTCTGCATCACTTATAAAAACAAAATAATTAGCTATTCAGTGCTGAGTACCCTAAGATGAATGTATCTGGAATATCTGATCTTTGAGGAATGTAACAGAGGTGATCTATTGCTAATTCTGTAGTGCTGACTATTTGCTCAGAGATCATAGGAGACAGAAAAAAATTGACTCTCCTTCTATTAACAAAACAAATTTAACAGACAGAACCTTGCAAATCTTTACATATATATATGCACACTTACACTGTCATTTGGTATACCAGGTATGTACAGATCCAGTGTTCATTTCAACAAGATGCAAAGGGACTAAGTTTGAACATTCATTCAGCAAATAAAGCTGGTAAAGTTAGCATTTTCCTTTATTTTCTTTGTATTTCTTTTTCCATCTTTTCTTCTTGATTCTATTCCTAATCACTAGGATGTTCTCAGTGTATCTGTGTGTAAAAAATAAAAGCCTTTCACTGTGTTTCCAGTTTTATTGGTGAAACTCTCTGTTAAAAATATTTTAAAAGATTAAATTTTTAAAAAAATCCTGGCAAGTTAGACACCTGCCTTAACCTACATTTGAAATAAAAACAAGCACTGAACAAAGTCACTTAAGCCCTGGCATTTGGTGTCTGCTGTTGGGAACAGTAACTGTTCTCTATTCACTGCCAGTGTGAAATCACAGCAGGATGAAAAGTTTAAAGCATGAAAGAAACAGGCGTTTCAAAGCCACTGAGGACCTCAGAGAAAGACAAGTGGAGGCATGTAAGTGTGCTCATTTTCTGGTAGACTTGACATGCAGTAAGATTTAGTGAACAATATCTGCATAACAGGGATAGCTGAAGCGATCCAGTAGTTTCTTTTGGAAAGGATCGCTGCATGAGGATTATTTTGTCTGTACAACAGCCAACACATTCATATGAAGGGAAACTGAAAATAAAGTGACCAGAAAGAAAAGTACAAAAGATGACAAGGAACTGGTTAGTTTAAAGGATGAAGAAGACTTATTACTGTGGACAGTTACTCTGCAGATCAGCAATTCCCAAAATACTAGGCAAGCCCCCATCAAAGAGGGAGAAAGATATGCAGGCGCGCACAGAAAAAACAATGAAAAGAGCAGGTCTCTAGCAATGTAATATGGAGCTGAAAGGCATGCAATTTATTTCATGCTGAACCCTTCTAGTGGATTTCACAAGTTAGGGGAAGGCTGCTATAAGTGAAGTGAAATGGATTTTTGGTCTCAGTGTAATTCATAATAAACAGGGACACACGTTGCCACTGGCAGATTGAGATAGGACAGGGAATAAATGAACACAAAGAATTAAACTCCTTTCTTATCCACAGATTCCTTCAGTGGAAACTACTCCCAACATAATGGAAGAATTGCATAGTAGGTACCTTGCTACTTGTTTTATTTAAGATTATAATCTACTGTTATCAATTTACCACCCTTATTTTAATTTAAAATATAACATAAATTTAATATGACAGTAAAAAGGAGGTGAAAAAGATGGACAATGAAAATAACAAGAGAGGAGGCTGAATGGATGAGAGCTCTTCTCAGAGGACTGTATGCTAGTACCATATATTCCTTCATACAATACACACCTTTCCTCCCCTAAAAAACAGCTTCTGGAAACTGGAGTATGCTTTGAAGGAAAGGAAATATGGGAATAGAAGTTTCAGCTACTTAAGTTTTGGCCAGGTAAAAGCCACTAAAGCCTCCAGTCTACACAGAGAACACAGCAATAAGCAGACTCAGTTCACAAGGAAAGATCTTTTTTCCTTCAGTCTGCCTTTCAGACTGGGGTGCAGGAGAGGCACTCCTTTAAGCAGGAAGGGCAGGAGGATTTTCACCTGCTTTAAGGACTCTAAAAAGTCCCCAGAGATTCCCACGGTACAGTGCAATACAAAAAGGGAATGAAGTCACATCACTGCATCCCCTCTGGATCCACCACTGCAAGTGAGTCTATGGGAAACAGGAGTCCAGAAGAACTGGCTGTACCTTAAGGACACCAAAGTAAGGTCATAAGAGCAGGCTATACCAGTGGAAAGGAAGGATAGAAAGAGTGGCAAGAAACTGGCCTGTCTAAACAGTATATTCTTCAAAACTGGAAACTCAAAATGAAATCTTAGGGTGCCACTAACTATGAACCAGTTAACAACTGACTGGGTAAGAGATGTTCACATACAGACAGAACATTCCAGGTAGAATAGTCACTTTTTAGGTAAAGTGCTGTAGCTCCAACACCAGGGGGTGAAAGTGAGCACCGAGGCGCATATGCCTCCCAGTGAGTGAGTGGTGGGAGTGTTTGTTCCCATACTTTGGAATCCCAGGAGCTGGGGTACCTGGGACTGGGATTTTCACCAGCAAAGCAAGCAAAACTCTGGCTTGCATCCATAGATGCTTCTCTAGCACATCCCAGGACATCATCCTCCCACTGTACTTGGCCTTGGTGAGGCTGCAGCTAGTGTACTACATCCAATTCTGGGCTCCACAATTTAAAAAGGATGTGGAGAAGCTTGAGAGACTCCAGAGGAGGGCCACGCACATGATCAGAGGACAGGAAAACAGGCCTTATGAAGAGAGGCTGAGAGCCATGGGACTCTTCAGCCTGGAAAAGTGCAGGCTCAGGGGGGACCTGGTGGCTTCCTATAAGTTTATCAGGGGCTGTACATCAGGATCTGGGGGAATGCCTGCTCGCCAGAGCACCTTATGGGATGACATGATCAAACAGTCACAAACTCCTCCAAAACTGTTTCAGGCTGGACAGAGAAGATCTTCTTTACTGTCTGAGCCCCTGAGGCCTGGAACAGACTGCCGCCAGACGTGCACGAAGCACCTACTGTGGACTCCTTTAAGAGTCAATTGGATGTTTATCTTGCTGGGATCCTATGACCCCAGCTGACTTCCTGCCCCTGGGGCAGGGGGCTGGACTCGATGATCTTCTAAGGTCCCTTCCAACCCTAATGTCTATGACATCTGTGAAATATCAGGGCTGCTCAGCGACACAAAACAGTGGTGGGAGGTGGGAGGGACAGGCACAGCTGGACCCACATCCTGGTGAATAAAGGGAGCAGAGGGAGCTCTGATTTTCGATGATAAGAAAACCAAAATCAAATGCCAAAATATACAGATATTTAGAATGTACCTAAAACCAGGATCCCCGATTCTTCCTGCACAAACAGTAGTCATCAATGGCTGAACAGCAAACTGGGAAGGAGGTGTCAAGCGGGGTTCTACAGGGGTCCGTCTTGGGTCTGGTGCTGTTTCATATTATTTGGGGCATGGGATTGTGTTTGTAATAGATATTGAGCTGGTTGAGGTAGACACTTTGGAGGACAGAATTAGGAATGATCTGGACAAACTGAATATGGTGCAAAATTAAACAAATGAAATTCAGTAGGGTCAAATTCAATAGGATAAACTCCTCAACTTAGGTTGTTAAAACAATCAAATGCACAAATACAAACAGAGAAATGATAAACTAAAGTGGCAGTACTGCAGAAAAGGAGCTGGGTGTTAAAGTGGACTGCAAACTGAATGCAAGCCAGTGTGCTCTTGCAAGAAAACCCAGAAAAGCCAATGGAATTCTGGCATATATTAACAGGCATGTTGCATGCAAATCAGTGGAAGTGATTCTTTCAGTGAGATCTCATCTGGACTATTGTTTCTATTACACTTCAAGAAAGACATGAACAAAAAGGAAAAGCCCAGCAGAGAACAAGTAAAACATTTTCCAAAATTGTGAACGTGATTTATGAAAAAGGGCAGGAACAAACTGAGATTATTTAGTCTGGAGAAAAGAAGACAAAAGAGAGCCTGATAATGGTTGTTATAAAGAAGTGAACATGGTAATAAACTAAATTATTTTCTGTGACCAGGGGCACACAAAAAGAAACAAATCTTAAATTGCAGCAAGGGAAATTTAGACTGGATATTAGGAACAACTTTATAACTGAGGGTGGTTAAGCACTGGAACAGATAACTGAGAATGGAGAAATGAGAGAAATGCTGAGAACTAGAACTATCCCCCTATTCACCCTCCACAAGAGAAGGCTGAGATGGGGATAGGGTGGATGTTTACAAACTCACCAGGGGGCACCAGCGGGAATTGGGGGAGGCTCTGTTCCCCCGGGCAGCACCCGAAATCACTAGGAATAACAGCCACAAATTGTTAGAGAGAAGGTTCAGGCTGGACATCAGGAGACATTACTTTACAGTTAGGGCTGCCAGGCTCTGGAATGGGCTCCCAAGTGAGGTGGTGCTCTCTCCTACCTTGGGGGTCTTCAAGAGGAGGCTGGACAGATTTTTGGCTGGGGTGATACGATCCTGGCACCCGTTCCTGCCTGGATGACCTGATGATCTTTTTAGGTCCCTTCCAGCCCTAAGTACTATGATATAGGAAAGTGTCAGCCTAATGCACCGTTAATCAAATAGCATAGGTGTAAGCCAAAAATCAATATAATGAACAAAACATTTGTTTGTTTACTTTAGTAATGTAATGCAACATTAGAAACCAAACCTGTGAATAACAGAGCACAGAACTTCCTATGTCACTTCCACAAGTCACATGACATTTCCATGTTTAAGAAATAGTAAAACCACCACTGTCAATTATTACAACATTTTTCATCAGAAAATATTTCATCCTTATCTGCTGAAGGCTATTTCTCATTTTTTGCTGTTTGTGAATACTACTATCTGGACTGTCTGTCTGCACTGGAACAGCTGTCTGCTCTGCCTGTCCCAAAGGATAGAAAGCTCATGCCTTTTGATGTCTCTTCTCCCTCTTGGGGTGGGACAAAAAAGCCAAATGAACTAAATGCAGTGCTCTGTAGGCCACCAGATGTGCTCCAAGTGTTTAATAGTGCCCATTCTCAACTTCAGTGCATATTTAGATGCACTGCTAGATTAAATCTGTGGTTATTTTTTTTCAGTGAGGAGCAATTAGGCTGCTACAAGGTTCTAGGTAAATGTTTGAATGACAAGTCTTCTTACCAGTCTATGAAATTTGCATGGATCAACTCCTCATGAAATTTCTGCATCACTTCTTCAGAACTGGCAATCATTTCAAACTTCATAGTATATATTCAGTGGTTTGGGCAAAGAAGGACTAATGATAGCAGGCTGGGCAAGACAGCCACTTAATCAGCAGGCTGCATAACAGCATCTGTAAGAACAAGTACAATTATTTCACAGCTCATACCTAAGCAAATGATGCTAGCTTAAGATTTTAATTTTTACTTTCTTCAACAAACTGCTAAATCAAAAGTCATCACTGATCAGAACAACACATACCTCAGTATGTAACTTGTCTCACTGGCCAAAAATAGTAAGGAAGAATGGTATTGTCACCAGTACTTCTGATGAAGCTATGCAGTAAAGGAAGTTCACGTTCATAAATTTAAGGCTCTACTGAGTCTACATTTATATCTGTCACGTTGCATATTTTAACTAAAGATAACTGCAAAAGTATCTTTGTTTTTACTTTTGTAAACGTTTCTATGACTTGTTAATCACATCTCTTTTCAAATAAGCTCCATTATTGACTTTATATTAAAAAGCATTACAAAACAATTGAAAAAATACATCAATTAACCTTCCAAAGGAAAAAAAATCATGTTTCATTATTCAAGCATTTTACACAAGGTTGTTATGATGGACCACTAACTGTATATGATAACACCTGTTTGCATTTGGTTGCTTGGGTGGATACACATTTAAGACCTTGATTTTTTAATTCAGTCTTTTGCCCTTGATTTAAAACATTCTGAAGTTCAGTACATTCAAGGTATATGTGAAGACTATCTTCATTGGTTTCCCCTAAAACACAAAGAAAATGAAAGGCTAGGTATGACTAAGATGTTTAAGATTGAGTTTCTTTTGAGTCCAACTGCCCAACTGGCTGACAGTTTTTATGGAAGGTGTTATGAGGTGCTACTGAACCTGCCTGGCACTGTTTTCAATTGCTTAGAGCTTTGCCAGTCTTTAACCATTTTGGCTTAAATTTTCCATGCTAGGCATCAGGATGAACTGATTTGTAAAGCTTCTGAACTCTTCTTTCCAAGATTTCAAGAATAAGGTTTATAAAAGACACATTATTTTTGTTCACATAGCATTCTTGCAAGCCTTATTTATGGAGTTTGTTGGGGCGGGGGAGGGGTTCCTTGGGTTGGATTGGGTTTGGTTTGAGTTGAGAAGTACTAGGACCCCCATATTTGGGAGTACTCACTTGAAGTTTGGCAAGGGAGTGGCCTCTGTGCCTTGTGATTATAATTTAAGAAAAGACTATAAAATCCATCCAAATTTGGCCAAATTATAAACCTGTAAAAATAGGGGTGGGGGGAAATCCTGCAATAACTTCCTGAAGTTTGGCAAGTTGGAAAAACTGCAATATCCGCATCCTCTGGCCATTATACCACATCTCCATTAGAGCTAATCTCACCATGGGCTTGCCCAAGCCAAAGTAGCTGGCCACAAAATTGAGGTTATTAGGAGTTGCCTGCTTTGTGTCACTGATCAACCCTGCTATGCCAGCGCCCTGCCCCTGCCCCACAGTCCCAACCCATAGTCCCCTGGCCCTGCCAGTGCCCCACATTCCTGACCTACAGCCCCCTGGCCCTGCTGGTCTCCCTCACTCCCAACCTGCTGTCCACCCTCCCCCTCCCCTGCAATGGCCCTCACTCCCAACCTACAGCCCCCAGTTTCCACTGGTGCCCTTCACTCCTAGCCTGCAGCCCCCCAGACCTGCCTGTGGCCTTCACTCCCAACCC